TACTTTCGCTTTGCCTCGTCCCGCAACGGCACGAGCACCTGCCAAAAGTCCACGACCACCCGGTTTTATGCCTGCTGCTTCTTGGGCCTTTCTCTTTACCATTAATAACTTTTGTTGCGGAGATAACAATGATTGTGCCTTACCTACTGGTGTCTTCGAAGACTGTTTTGTTTGTTGTGATGGTGGTTGTTGTTGTGATAGTGGTGGTGGTTGTGGTTGTTGTTGTACTGGACTGGTACCAGTTTTGATTATTTGTTTGGACTGCGGAGATGTTGTGAGTACTGTGAATTTTGGCCTAATTTGTGTGACCGTGCCGGTCACTGTGACAACAGGTGAAACGGTTTGTTGCGTACTTACAACTGTCGTCGTACGCTTTTGCAACACCGGACGCGTCACTTGCGCCTGAATCTGTCTTGGTGCAGGTGCTCTGACGGGCGTACGAATTGTACCAAGAACGCTCGTTGTCGTTGTTGGACGCAATGACGGTCTAGGTAACAAAGGACGACCATCTACCGTTCGCTGAGGCGTGACAGGGGCAGATCTTATACCTGTAGTTATTCTCGGTTGCAAAGTTATCGGTGCCGGCACTGCAGTCACAACATGTATCTGTTGCAATTGCGACGGATCCGGTTTCGGCTGTATTTTTATAGGCTCGCTCTTCTGCACGTTGCCCATTTTCGGTGTAACGGCCTTGGTGACCACCTTCATCTGCGTTACCACTTGGCTTCCGTCCATTTTCGAAACGACTTTCACAGGAGTCATAGAATTGGACTGCGACGTCGAGATTACTTGTTTTTTTATTACGTTTGTATTATCTCGATTTTGAACCATTACGACACCTTGCGTCGTCGGAGATCCTTTAACCGCTAGTTTCCCACTGGGGGACGAATTCAATTTGATGATACCGTCTTTTCGCGACATAACGTAGAGACCGGAAGCCAAATTCGGCATTTGTTTGGGATCGACTTTAACAACCCCCTTAGCACTAGCCACTAAAACAGGCGGTTGGCTAGATTTCGCTCCATCTGGAGATTGCAATCCTAATGATGTTGCCAGATCAGTGGATGAAACAGAGGTTCTGTTGGATCCATTCGACTGCGCATTAGCGCGATTGAATGCACGTTGAATCATGTCGCTACGGCCTAATAGTCTTTCGTCTTCAGATTCCCCAGTCCATTCGTCATCACTGCCTGTGTCACCTTTTGTTCTCTTTGCGGCACTGCTTCCTCCTTCTTCTGAATCGCTCTCTGAATCATCGATCCTCCTTTTACCTAACACTACATTTACACGTACAAATATTAATTTAAATAGCGTATATTTAATACGTCGTTTCATATGTTATTTAATACACGTTTAATATTACATACGTCGATTAATATTACATATGCAAAATTAAATGTCTGCCAAGGGCGCGAGTAATTTAAATACATACGTTCGTTATCTTCATCTTTCATCGAGCCACACCATTGCTTGACTTGATCCATCGCTTTTGATTTACTAGACCGCATCGGGCGTCTACGTATACGCAACAATTAGCAAATTCACATTGAAAATCGCAGTGATTTATAGAATAAAAATGTTTCGTAACTGCACTTTTTAATTAAAAACTAGTTAAATTGTTGCTCACCCTGCTTGAGCCGCCGTACTTGGTCCGGGCTGACTAGTCTCAGCTTTTATCACTGATTTTTGCAATGGCAAACTCGCACGTCCGACGACTTTTGTATTAGCCTGCTGTTGGGCTGCTTTAGACTCCTTTTGCTTGGCGAGACTCCGCTCAAATTCATCCAATAAACTTTTGCATGCTGCTACAGCCTCTGCAGATTCCCATGTATTTTCACTATAAATTTGGAATATTTCAAAATGCACCGTTAGAATTATTAGGGGGGGGGGGGAAGAGATACATGTGATTAATAGAGTACCCACTATGAATAGCCTTCCCATTTGATTAAGTATTCCGAGCATCTCTTTTTTGTATTAAAACGTTTGGCTAATATTTTATCGACAACATATTCTTCATTACTTAGGTCTGCATCTTCTTCGGTAATTGCTTTGCCAGATTTGATCTGCAGAAATATTAAGATAAATAAAGCAGATTCCAAACATGTATTGTATTTTGTTAAACAAGTAGCTTCAAATAGTGTAATACTTTAGGCTTGATCGATGGTTTCAGTCTTGGTTTTTCCTTCTTGTCCACTTCAATTTCCATAGATTCATTCTTCTGTGTTTTTGTTTCCAGTGATTTTGCAGAATCTTTTTTAGCTTCGCCCGTTTCTTCCGGTTGTCCATTTCTGACAACTTTACGAACTATTATAGGTTTGGCACCTGTGCAGCCAATATTAAGTTTATAATGTTAATAAAGGTAACAGCTTTCTTTGTGGTTCTACGAATTTTTATTTCTTAAAAAAAAGAAAAAAACGATCACCTTCGACATTGGTATTTGACTGAATCTGTAGCAAGGTATCCTGCATCTTTGCGTTACTAATTTTTGTAAAAGTTTGTATAGTTTTTCCCGCTGTGACCCATGCCTCCTTCACACGCGTATCCATCATACACCATTTCTGGTACAATGTCCAAGCGCTAGATGTTTCCTTGTCTGAACTTTCTTGCGGAACTTCTTGCGTATTTTTCCATAATAAAAATGCCCATACTTGTGCTTTTCGTCCATTCTACAAATATTAAAGGAACATTTCAAATAAGCAATTTTTCACAATCCGTATAATCTGTATGTGCTGCATACAGATCTAAAGATACAAAGTATAGATACAAACGTCGTTGGGGTCACGAATACATGATGTTTTGGAGCAGGCTCCCTCCTTTGTGCGATGTTCTTGAAACTCTTCGATAAAATGAAAGACAGAATGACACTGTCCACATACCATTACATCTAATCGTCCCATTTCTTCTTGCGCTGCTGATGAAATAGAAAAGTAATTGAAAGCGAAGCACGAGCGATAGTTGAAGTGTGAAACACTTATTACGTGTCATCTTCCGTAAAATAAAAATCTTACCTTAACTCTTTAATATAAAAAAAAAGGATAAAAAGCAAGTCAAATATTATGATTTCCAAGTGATGAAATGATAGAAAATACATAAAAATGTAATAATCGACGTAACGATTACCTTTAATAACGGTGGGTTTATTACCGATGGCTGAAGGGCCATCATCTCCCTCCATTCTGTATACGATTCTCGTCTCGCGATCCCTTTTCTAAAAATTAAATAACAGCATCGTTAAACAGTAAAGGCCAATCACACGTATGTACATACAAAAATTTTAGTCGTATTCGTAAGGCCGTAAGCAAATCGGCCAATCACAGTCGGGCGTTTCAAAATACGAGATCGCAATTTTGATTGTGATTGATCGATTTGCTTGAGACCTTACAATTACGATTACAATTTTTGTATGTGTAATGACCTTTATGGCAGAATGAATAAGGAATTTCTATTCGGCGTACACGATGGATTTTTGAACCACAAAAGAGATGAAGAGACAATGATGGAAAAAGAGAAACGTTGGGATCGAACTTTCCTGACACGAGTTAACTGAATAGGAGGGGGAGGGCGAGAGAGAGAGAGAGAGAGAGAGAGAGAGAGAGAGAGAGAGAGAGAGTGTCTGGTTTACTTGGCGCGAAAAAGGTGAAAACGCGAGCGGAGTATATACATATACACTACATCGTCAAATCAAAGTTTCGCGTTCGGCGATGAGAAAATTGAAGCGCAACGTAGGATGAAGACCGCCAGCGATCGCGGATATCACTGCTTTTCTTCTTCTCGAGAGACATTTTCGCGCTCCTACCACGCCGATTCGTATGTACACTCGTGATCTACAGTTGAACCGCTAGAGTTACGTGGAGCTGACGTGAGCAAGAATGTTCAAGACCGTCGTTACTACGTTTAAATGAAATATATATATATATATATAACGTTCAAATGAAAGCGTCGAGACTGGGCGTGCGGCGTGCGGCAGTCCGGCACCGTGAGACACAAGGCGATTGTAAACGGGGCCAGTGACGATTGCCGCGAATGTGTGAATTATGGACGACACTCGCGCCGAGCCGCGAGCGCTGACTTTGTGACAATTGTGACTCGCCGCGCAATTGTTTCCGCGCCACGATATGTGAATTATGGATGCCGCGCGAAGCCTTATTTACGTCTTACGCTAATAACGAGCGAGACAACTATCTTTCGATCATAAGATTCGAGAGACCGGTGTCATTGGCGCCGTTCTCTTTATCGTCGTCACCGTCACCGTTTGCGTCGTTGTCGTCGTTACCGCGTTGTCGTTGTCGTCGTTGCCGCCGCCGTAGTAGTCGTCGTCGTCGCCACCGCGGTTGTGGTTGGTAGTCGATGCGAGCTCGTCGTCTCTCCACTGTCTCTCACGAGCAAACTCGTCAAAGATGCTCGTCAAAGATGGCTCTCGTCACCGATCTGTACTTTTGTACAAACGACTCACTTCCTGTCTTTACATGAACGCTTTCTGAACACCTCGTGAAATCTCGGGTCGCGATTAACGTTGCGGTCGCGAAAGCGAATCAGCGATGCTCACTTACATACGGTGAAACTGACGAACGGCTAGATTTTCCTCAGCCTGGAAAATGGCTCGCGTTGTCGCGCAAAACTGGACGAAAACAGTACAGCGAGTACAGCGACCATGAGCGATCGCGTCGGCCGACAGTGGCGCCATCAGCGCCATGGCGGG